CCGGGGCCCGGAGCCTGCTCTTTCCCAGAAGGGCTGGATTGACTCCGACAGACGAGGAAACTGCTCAGAGCCCCCTGAACAGCCCATCACCCTAGCGGTTCATCGCCGTGTAGAACAAACCAGTGCGCTTCGACTGGTTTTCCCCACTTGTCAGCTGGCGCTTTTGATCACATAAAAGCAGCCTGTCCGAGACGACGCCCTCTTGAGAATCAGCGTAGTTCCGTTTCCAGCATCGCGAGGTTCAGGGACCCCCGGCCGTGTCTGCACGAGCGCGAACTAAACGGGGCCGGTGGTGAAGAACCAGGAACAGACTTTAAATTTAGTAACAGGAATTTTGTATGTGCGTGTTTTTAAAAAATAGTTCAGTCATTCGGTCATTCAACAAATAACATTCTTAAAAAAAAAATTTACTTTCCTCACGATATATGGATTTAGACAAATGAAGTTTAGGAAGCCTTTGGATATGTGTGTCCGCGTGTCATCCAGGTTGAGGAGGCAGTTGATCATGCAGATAACAATCAAGAGCTTATTAAACCCAAACCCCAAGGGGATAATAAGCAAGACACATCTTAAGTAGAATAAATGAGTATTTTCTCACATTTAGGTTTTGTCAGTGGGAATAAAACAAGCAGAGACAGACAAGCACTATTCGAATGGGGTAATAAAACAACAAGGTTTTTTTGGTTAACCGCAAGTTCAATTTGAACCTTAAGTGTTAAAAACAACAACAGAAGAAGGAACCTGTGGCTGTAATTACAATAAGAAAAATAGTTACCGGTGTTCGAGCACCTAGTAGGGGCAGGCGCACAGTGGGCACTTTATTCCTCCGTCCAAGCAACCCAGAAAGGTGTGAGAGGCACAGGTGGCACTGTGGTTCTCTGCACAGCGCGGCCCGCCCCCACCGCCTCTGCTGGCTGGTCGCCTCCCCCTCAAATCCCACATCCCCTTCCTGAATACGCTGGGGTCGAAAGCTCTTCATTTTTAAGCCCTCACAGCATTTTCTTCAGAAAGTCTCCCCTGGCTCCCCCAACCCCTCCAGGCCAAGTGAGGTGTGGAAGCATTTGTCTCATTTCCTGAGTAGCTGCGAGTTCGCCGAGGGCAGTGATTGTCACATCCATCTCTCCGTCACTAAATGTTTTTGACGCACTGGCGTCTGTGCTTGTCCAACTAAGATGAAATTATCATATCCAATCGTAGGACCCAGACACTAAGAGAAAATGTGACAAACTGGGACTCATTAGAGGAGAGTGACGGATGGCAGGGGGGCTCGTAGCTTTGTCATGTGAACAACGAATGGAAGAACCAAGCTGTCCCTTCAGTTGTCCAATAGGCTGTCGTCGGCTATCCAGAACACCTTTGTAACTCCGGAGGGCAGTGAGCGGAATGTCGCTCAGGACAAGGAGGACAACTAAAGCCATTTATAAAATGGGCTGCTTTGGAGAGTAGAAAGTTCCCCGTCACGGGTTTTCGTCCCGAGGCTCAGTGCACATGTGGCTGCCGAGAAGGCATGCTGCGCTGGACTTGGCAGTGGACCAGGCCACCTCTCTGCTTCTTTTTAGCCCTGAGAGTCTGCAGTGAGCATTGACTAGGCACCCGCCCTGTGCCAGGTTCTAGGGGCTCCGTGGAGAAGGAGACAGACACACCCCTGCCCTCGGGGAAACTGCTTGGTGGCAGGGCGTGTCGCTTCGGGGCTTTTCAGAAGCAGACAGCGAGACCCTGAGGTCCATTAGAGTATAAGAGATTCATCCGGACCCGGCCGACACGAAACGTAGCGGAGCAAGAGCAGGCGGGGAGTGTGGGGTGCGTCAAGGCATAGGGCTGAGTCAGGAGTGTCTCAGACCACAGTGCACGGGCCATGAGGTGGCCCCGGGCCGGGGGAGAACTCCGTGTCGGGCAGGAATGGCTGGCACTCACAGCCCTGCCACATTCAGTCATTGGTGGAGAGCAGCCTAGAAAAGCATGGCCTCTGCAAACGTGGTGGCCATCCAGAGGTAGCAGCTGGGACCGTTGGTCAGCTCTGCTCCCATAACTGGCCTTGGAGTTCTGAAGGGCACACTTCAGTGGCCGCCACTCAGGGATTCTAGAAAGCATGGCCCTGCCACACTGTGCCTTCTTGGATTTGCTGCCTCAGAATCATCTCCAGGGCTCCTGTGGTCACATGCCAGGTGGTGTGGCTGGGGTTTCGCTCAGATCCCTCTGTCTTAGTAAAGTCCATGTTTTGTTAACTGACACCAGGCTGCATCTCAGGATCTCTCCCCACTCCTAAGCCAGGGTCCCAGCAGCACTGAGTGACACAGCCCAGCCCTTAACCAGGTTTCCGGTCGGTTTATATTGGGATGGAACTGTCATTTAAACCAAGGCCTGTCAGATTCTAGCAAACTTCACGAGGACAGGGCCTTCGCCCAAAGACTTAGCTAGGGGAAGGACAATGCCTCCTAAGCATGTTCTCTCAAAAGATACGTGATTTCAGGCTCAAAAACGCAAAGCAAAGCAAAGTGCCATTGGTGTTTTTTTTT